AGGGGGGGGGAGATGGGGGTCGTGTAGGGAATGTATTTGGATTTGAAAGTTGATTTGAAATGGAGAGGGGAGCGGTGCGCCGAATGGGTTAGGGAATGGGGGGAAGGGGTTTTCCTAGCCAAGAGGAGCGCCAAGAGGTGGGGACCCTCGGTGGGTATTGATTTGGTCGGGGGATTCGAAGAGAGGGGGCTTTAAATCACCCCACGTATACACACGTCCCGAGTACACGGGGGGGTTGAACTCCCCGCCTTCCTAGCTTATACCTCCACCACCACCACCACCACTACCACCACCACCACCACCACTACCACCACCACCACCACCACCACCACGTGGCTCTAAGTGGGGATTCCGTTTCTCATATTGTCTTAACTTCTCTTCGGTGGCTTCCGCACCGTGCTTGCTGTGGGTTTTGTTCCCCCGTACAGGCCGCCATGCCGTACGCCGGTAACGGTCTTTCCTTCTCCAACCTCCTGTGGGCTCTGGCGATGTGGCAGGGGGAGCTCCACCCGGGGGAGCAGCTGCTGGCGGAGGCGTGCAAACATGTGGGTTTAGCATCAGAGCTTAGCGGCCTGCACGCGCGACGCGGATTGCCTCCGGAATCCCCTTTGCCCACGATAACAGTGCATGGCGGTTTTCGTTGCTAACCCCCACTACCCAACCCCTACCCTAACCCCCCCTACTCCCCTTCGCCTTCCCAAACACACACGCACACACACGCAACTTCCCACCCACCCCCCAAACCCCAGTCTGCTCGGTGGCTCCACACGCTGGACTTCCGGGGCCTTGCCGTACTGCTGCTGGCACTGTCCGACCTGGGACACACTCCCCCCCTGGAGTGGGTGAGCCTGGCGCTGGAGACGGCACACAAGTATGTATGTATGTATGTATGTGTATATGTATGTATGACTTAGATTACACTGTGGGCCGCGAGAGCCGGGGGCCGAAGCCGAAACACAGCGCAAGGGTCGGGAGCACACAGCCCAAGTCGGTTAGTCTTGCGTGCTCCCGACCCCGACTCAGACTGCCAACTCTCTACGCAGCCACTCCGCAGCCCCTCCATCCGGGGATGGCGCTGCAGTGAAAACACCACGAAGGGCTCTCAGGTCCCGCTAGAGCGAGTCCACAAGTCTCAGCTAGGGCAAAGTCAAAGGCTCTCTGAAACAACTCCCCAAAACACCACCAACGACAACGGGATTCCAAGGGAAAAAAACAGAAAATAAAAATACGGTTATGGCAGTCCCGGCAGGGAGGGCTCCTGATAAACCTAACAAGCCAAAAAAGAAAAACCTCCAAGAGAGAAAGGCTAAGAGAGCTCGACACCACAAAACGTATGTATGTATGTATGTATGTATGTATGTATGTATGTATGTATGTATGTGCTTATGTGATTGTGTCGGGGGCCCTCAGAGAGGGAGGAAAGGATGGGCTTCAGGGGAAACAGACACTGTGTTTGGCTGCCTGTCGCCCCTTTTGACCCGGTTGGGTCCCAACTGGGAAGACATGACTCGCTGATTTCACGCTCCCACAACCCTATAATGCTTCGCGTCGTACACACACAAACACATCTACACCCTTTCATTACCCCCTTACCTCTTTCTATACATTGGGCCGTTGACGTTCCTGTGTGCTCTGCACAATTTTGCCGTACATTTGTGCTATCGTACGACACCAGGAAGCTAGCAACTATGGACCCCTCTTCCGCTGTGGCGGTGCTCTGGGCCGTCAGCCGCTTTGAACGACAACGCGCAGCTGAAACGGCGGCGGCAGCGGCGGCAGCGGAGGTCGCCGCCGCAGCCGGCGACGCGACGGCGGCGGCGGCGGTGCCGCTGCCACCTCGACGGCGGCGGCTGAGCAGTCTGACGCCCGAGGAGCTGTTGCTGGTGGCGGATGACTTGGGATTCGGGTTTGGTTTCGGAGCGGATGGTCGTACACCGGGGGCCTCGGCGGGCACACCGCTGGCGCTGCGGCCACCTCGCAAGTGGTTGGTGCGGTACTACCCCCTCATACAGGTGCGTGTGTGTATGTGTGCGTGCTCTGGTGTGTTTTGACACGCGGTGTGCAGTTACAGGGGGCGTTGTCAGTTGAGAGGAACTCCGCGCTGTGTGTGTCTGCATGTATGTATCTGTGTAGTGCATGTCATCTGACAGGGCCTGTCGCGGCTGGCGAATTGCAGCCACCTCCGCCTGAGCCGGGAGAAACAGAAGGGCCCCCGAAGCCCCTCCCTGGAGACCTGTATGTATGTATGTATGTATCTGTGCGTGCGTCTGTGTATGTGCATCTGTGTATGTGTGCAAGACGGGGGCTGCGAGGTGGTGGGCTACGCGTGCGGTGGGAGGGCTACTGCCGCCGCCTGAGCACGGGGCCTGAGCTGGTGGGCTGGCAGGTGGACAGGGACGGGCAGTGTGCTGCGCTGTGAGGTGGTTGTGGGTGTAACCCGCCTCCCCCCGGACCGCTTACTTCCCTCTCCTCGACCCTTTCGGCCGCCAGGACTTCGCAATGGCCGCTGCGGGTGTGGTGCCGAAGACCGCCAGGGCCACCTCCACCGCCACCTCCGTCTCGTCCCCAGCGTCCTCAACCATATCTCCAGGGGTACGGGACGCAGCAGGCGGTACGGCAGCCCCTCCCTCCCGTTTCGCGTTCAGTGGCCTGGACAGCAACCAGATGGTGGATCTTGCTGGTGCGGGGGTTGGAGGTGGCGGTGGGGAGGGGAGGGGAGGGAGGAGAGGGGTGTGTGGAACAGCAGGGGTTGCGGCTGCGAGTGGTGGGAGAAAGGGTGGGAGGGCTGGGGGCGGTGGAGTTTGGTGTCCCACAGGTAGACGGTTTGGCTGGGCTGATCGCCGTGCCCTGCCCTACCCTCCTGGGGTAGGGCAGGGTGGGTGTAAGAGCTTTGCTGGCGTGGAGGTGTGTGTGGGAGGCGCGATATAGTCGGACTGGTAGCAGAGGAGGGCCCTAGGGGGGGCAGGGGGAGGTCCCAGCAGCACATCAACATGTCTGCTCGCACGGGGCTGCCTCACTCGTTGCCCCCTCTCCAACGAACCAGCCGCGCCTCAAATAGAGCCACCTGCCGCCGCCTCGGTTCTCTAGCGCCCGAGCTTGAGGAGGGAAGGGCTTCCGTGGCGGTACTCCTCCGGGGTTGAGGGCCCCGCGGGACGTCGGTCCTTGCGCCTCTGTAGCCTTCTGAACCTCCTCGCCTCTTCCCCCGACCGGGGAGGGAAATGGACGTCGGCAGTTGACCCTTTGCTTCTTGTGGATCGTATCATAAGGTTCTCCTCCCAGCCCGTGCACTGTCCGTGGCCATCTGTGCCCGCATGATTATGATGTCAATGATGTCCCCCTTTTCCACCCAACCTCCAACCCCAACGCGCTCCCGTACAGTGGCGCTAGCGGATTTGTACGTCTACCCGGGGGACATGTGGATGGCGGCGCATGAGGCCCACATGGCGCTGGCGGGTGCAGCAGCCGGCAGTAGCAGAAGCAATAGCGGTCGTGGCAGGAGTGGTGGTGCCGGTGCCAGCTTGACGCCGTACCAGTGGCAGCTGCTCATGGCGTCGTACGCCGCGCTGGATGACACGGCGGAGGAGTACGCGGCGCCGAAGGCTGGGGAAATGTACTGAGTGACGGCTCTACACTTGCTTGTTGAGAGGGGGCGTGTCTGCCGTATTGCACTGCCGTGGCGGCTGCAATAGGGGCTTGAGAAACGGAGGGAGTCCATGTGGCCTCACGGCGCCTCTGTTATCAGGAAAAAGAGTTTTGTTTTGCTTGGTTTGGTTTGCGTTGTGGTGTGGTTTGGGGAGTGGGAGTGGCAGTCGGGCGACCCTTCCAGGGTGTCGAAACGCGCAGTACGGGGTGATGGTGGGAATGATGGTGATGGGCACGTGCTACCCTGTGCTACCCCGTTTTGCTCTCCTGGACTCCCTCTCCCGTCCTTTGGTAGTGATTGGGTGATTTTGTCGATTTGGGTGATTTCAGTGCAGCATATCACCTGGTCTTACATATGATGTAAGGTGTCGAAAGCGGCTTGTTGCAGAGCTGGGAAGTAGGTGGGTTGGTGGGAGGCTGGAGAGGAGAGGGGTGCAGTGGCGGAGAAATGAAGGAGGAGGACAGGGTGTTGAGGTAGTGCGCAGCTGCGGAGCTGTGCATCTGACCTTGCCTGACTCGGGTATGTATGTACATATGTATGTGCGCATCAAAGAGGCTGAGTTCAGATCCAAAGCCAAGGCCAATAGATACAAACCAACCAGTCGAGTTGTGTGTCGTTGCCCCGAAACTACGTCCGCATGCCGCTTAGTGCAAACAGCGCGCGTGCGGTTTTCCTAAAGCACTCCTAAAGCACGCGCAAGAAATGCACCACACCGCACGATATGAGACTGACAACAATGCTGTTGCGCCTTCCACCCACCGCTGACAGCACCAGGAGCCACCTGCGGGGCCCTGGGGCAACGAACGACGAACACTGCACATACAAATCCACTGCAGCATTGCAACCGCAGCAACAATTTCACGCTCACCCGTCTAATGACAGAACGCAGCTAAAATCTATGGTAGAATATGCCACCCCGCCCCCTTTTACAGGTGGGGTATCGCAATAGATAACGAAAAGTGAAGTGCGTACTACGGCAGAAGGCGCCGACCGCTTGCTTGCCCAGACGTCCTTCCATTTAGCATGCACGCGGCCGTGCTCAAGCGCCTGCTCAGGTCCTCTCCTATATATACAAGCTAATGATCTATACGCATACACGCAAAGCCTAGACTTTGGAGTTCTGGCCGGGTAAACATACATACACACAAACACAGTGTCGCGTCACATAGCGTCATTTAAGGCAGCCACCACCCGCCCGGTTAACCAACACATCGCCACTCGTCGAGCAGCTGTCCATCTATTGTCTGTCTGTCTGTCTGTCTGTCTGGTCTATATGATTAGCTTATTTGTCTGTCTGTCCGTCTGTCCTGCTCCTGCGGCCCAACCTCAGCCCCTCCCTACATGCTACACACGACTACAAAACGTGACGCAACGCAGCTTCTACTCGCTATATGTTCTGGCCGCCTGTGCACTGCGACATTCCGCTCATCAAGCCTCGCTCTCCACTCCACTCCACCACACCACCAACACCCCGGGGGCCATCACGACCCCAAGCCGCCGTCATACCTGCCACGTGCCGTGCAGCCAAGGATACAAACATACACATACACACATACACCGCACAGCCATTGGGTTGCTCTATTGGCCGCATTCATGAACCGCCACACGAACCCCTCTCCTATCATGGCTATATCAACTACTTCTATCGGCCTGGCGTGGACGCTCTTCCACGACCCGCGGCCCGTGACCGCAAGAGCATATCCTAAAGGTTAACAAGTGCAGCCTAAACATCATTAAGACTGTGCGGCGCACAGCCCCCACCGCAAATGTGCGACGTGTCCTTGTCCGCCAAGGCCCTCCCTGGCGCCCAACAGTGCCGTACACTGTACACAGGCGCACGGACGCGCGCTCCGAGGTACCTGCTCACCAAACAGGTTGTGTCCGGCGACATGCTGAAAACCGGAAGCCAAACACGTGCAAACATGTACATGTTACCTAGAAATGTTCACATCTAATACTTTAAAGAGTTGACTCAACAGTTTCCTAACAGACTGAGAAAACGACCAACACCTAACGCACGCTCTACACATCATCGTCATCATCACCCAGACCGTGACGAAGTAGTCAACCGTCGTACAGCGCCACGTCGCGTCGTGTCACGCCACGTCACCAGGCAGCGTAACCCCTCCAAAAACCCAAACCAGGTTGCACAAGACCTGAGGTCCACGACACGCCCCTCTACCCCAACCCCCATCGGTTGCGCGGGTTGGATTCGGTTGGGTTGAGTTGGGTTGCAGAATACGAGGTGTAAATATGTCTCTGTCCGCTTTGTACGGCAAGCCCCCACTCACTGCTTTCCCATGGGGCATCTCCACCCCAAGACCTCATAACCCGCAGGCAGACAGTAACTATCCAAAACACACACACACACACACACACGCACGCATACATAGAGTAATGAATACGAGGGTGGCAATAGCTACGATAGCGGATAACAAGCATCAAATTCCCATTACTGGACCCCCGCTCGCTGGTGTTGGGTTGACCCCCGTGTGGTGGGATCATGGCGCAAGTTCGGTTTGGGCATGTACGTACATACGTACGTACGTATGTACGCGTACGAGCAATCTCTCCGCCGTCCTCGCCCCCCATACACCTCAACACCACCCCGCATAATGTATCGTGTCTGATCACCTTTCATCATATCACATGTGCATGACACGAAGACAGTGTCGGGTTCGACCTCGCCCTGGCCTATCACCTTAGGGGTTGGGGGTGTGTATTGCTTAGCCAGCAGTCACCCAATCGACCGATGCTCACGGGAATGAACAACACAGCTGCGTCGCCGCGCTCGCACTCGAACTCGTACACTTGCGCGTCACGAGCCAACGTTATCTACGCAAGGGGGGCTAAGGCACAAGGCCTGGGGCGTATTCACAACGCGTATGAATAGCACCTGCTGGAGCTCCTACAGACCATAGACCTAATCTCCCCTCCGCCAGTACCCGCCCTTCTTCCTCCTCCTCCTCCTCCCCCTCCCCCTCCTCGTCCACAGCATTACCCGCCAGTCATTTTCATGAGACATCACGAATATTCCATAAAGACCACCCCCCATTGCGCCTTCCGTGCACGTGTGTGAATGCGCGGTTGACAAGACAGCACCAGCAGCAGCAGCAGCAGCAGCACACGAGCATGCGGCTCGACAGAGATCCCACAGACACAGCACACACAGGGAAAAAACATCAGCAGCCTAGCCGAGGATAAAAAATGACATCGCGCGGTGCCCCCGGCCCCTCCACCATCACTATCACCACCACCGCCATCACCATCATCATCATCATCACCGCCTCACATACTCCTGCTTTTCAAGTTTTCCTGCAGAGTGATCCCTTTCTTCCTCCGCAGCTTCATCATACCACGGAAAAAGAAAACACACAGCACCGGCCCTAGCCTCCCCCCCCTCGCCCCCTGCCGCCCTGCACCAACACCCCCCACAGCCGGAATCAGCCTTTACCTCCCCTTCCCTTCCCTTCCACCCCACCCAGGAGTGGTTGTGGCACCCGCAATGCAGCGACAGACTCGGGGCTCGGTTCGCGAGGAGCAGACCGCCATTCCCCTGCCCACCGCCCCATCCGCACACTTCTCCACCAATCAACCCATCAGAACAAACACGAACAAACATGTCCCTACGAATGTGGAAGGAATGGAAAGTGCAAAAGAGAGAGGTGTCATATGAGCTGGTGCCGTCCCACCACATACCGGCCTATCGAAACAGTGTTTGGGTCACGTGCGGGCAGCAGCAGCAGGGCCGTCGTACTAACTACTAACCACTAACTACTACTACTGCTTACCCGATAAGGTAACACAGCGGAAGAAGCAAAATCCCGCGTCGGATTCACCACTGTCATACAGTGCACTGCGCAATAAACATCATTGCATCATTCATCTTCGTCACGTGGAGTCAGGTGGTCGCATCGTGGTGCGATATCACACCACACCTCACCCTATCTCACCTTACATTACATTACATGTACCCCCGTGCTTCCGCGCCACAGTACAGGGGCGAGAACCGGCCCTGGGCTGCAGAGAACTCCGGCATGGACGAGGGTGGCAGCGGCAGCTGAGGTTGACCCGCCGCCGCGGCGGCGGCGCCAAAGGATCCCAACGGGCCGCTGGCCGCCAGGGTGCCGTACCGGGCGCTAGGCCACGGCCCACCACCACCCTGAGGCCCGCGACAGTCAAAAGGCTGCGGCCCGGGAGGCCCGCGGCCAAATGGGCCGCCGCCGCCGCCGCCCATCCCGAAGCCGGAGTCGTACGGTGCGCCGCCGCCGCTGCCGTACGGCGACTCGTCCATGGCGACCGCGGCAGGCACTTGGTAGAAGCTCGTTCGTGACCGGCGTTGCTCCTGACGGTGCCGTAGCACCAAGACGACGATGAAGGCCGCAATAATGCCCATGACTGCCGCAGCGGCGACGGCAATGCCGACGCCGATGATCGCGCGGGTGCGGGCGGGGTTGGCGCTGGCCGGGGCGACGGCCGCGATGACAGGCGGAGGCGACGACGTGTCCATGGCCTGCGGGGTGATGAGAAATGTGATGCGGCCTGTCATGTCAGTTGGCGGCTCGCTTAGCGCTTGATTCGTTACTTGGCATGCGCGCTAGGCAGAAGGGAAGGTATTTTTACTTTGGGGAGGAAGCCCCGGGTTGGTATTGGAAAAGGCGGGAAACCGCAGTGTGCGTGGGGCCCCGACGCTTTCATACGAGAGACGGCATGGTAGGAGATACAGATTTTTAATTGGTGGTGTATGGGAAGAATCGACGTTGTGAGAGGGTGTAGGGGGGTTCATGGAAGAGGGGATGGAGCAAAGTGCGGGAGGGTAATGCGGTGCGGGTATGGAACGGCGGCAGGTCAATAAAAAAATAGCAAACCCACCTCAACCAAATTGGACTCTGTAACAGCCTTCCTTCCCTCCTAACCTTTATATAAACCTCTATATGACGGTCACGTGATTACCACATGTTTGCCGTATTCATGCCGTATTGATGTCAGTTCTCGGAGGTCCCTTACGGATAAAAGATGAAGATAAATTCCTTTGTTGCCGTACACTTAGGAAGAAAAAGAAGAACAAGAACAGGAACAAAAAGAAGCACGTACTTGCGTGATGATGGACTCCGTGCTAATGCCGTTGGGCACCACGAAAAAGCTCGTGTTGGCCAGCTTAGCAACCAGCGCAGTCCGTTCGGGCGCGTTGCTCTTCAGCCAGCCCAACAGTGTCGTCGCCGGCCGGGTGCCGCTCGGCGTCAGCATCACCGTGGTCACCGCTCCCACCCTCGCCGTCGTCGTCGACGTCGTCGACTGCTGCAGTACACGGGCCCGGCGGCGGCGGCGGCTGTCGCTCCGTCTTCTGCTGCCGCTCACAGCAATCGAGGTGTCCGTCGCCCCGCCATAAGACTCCCCCGCCACGCTGCTGTTGCCGGTGCCGACGTAAGACGAGCTGTTGCTGTTGCTTCCCGCGGAAACGATCACGATGGTCACGGCGCTGCCACTGAGACCCGCCCATTCCGCAATCGTCGATTGCAGCTTCCCCTGCCGCGACTTAACATCAACGACGGAGTTATTCAACGACAGCGTCAGCTGGACGAGCTGAGTCCAGATGGTCAGTGGCGGCGGCGGCGGCGGGCTAGGCTGGCTGCCATTCCCGACCACCCAGCCCCAACCTGAGTCCGTCACGTACTGCTCGCTAATGAGGCTGTAGCCGCAGTCGCTGCCGTTGTATGATAGATAGCAGTAGCAGACGCCGTTTTGGCACTGTCCGCCCGCTGAGTTGCAGGCGCTACAGGTCTGCGAGGGGCAGAGGTCTGTGGCTGCGGGGCAGGGCCCGATGCGGCCTGCGTTGTAGCGACTCGGCAGTAGCTGCGGCAGGTTGAGGTACTCACCCGCAGGACACGGGAACTGCTGGCCCAACAGTTTGACGTAGGCGACGGAGCCGTTGGCGGAGCAAGCCGTGTCGAAGCAGGCGGCGCCGGAGTCGCCGTCGCTGCCTTCAAAGTGTCACAGGTACAGGGATGGGAAACGGAGGCAGCAGGAGGGGGGGGGTTAGGAGGGGAGAAAAGCGGACGGTAGGTGGGTGCGGGTCCTGGTGAGGAGGGGAGAAGGAAGGTAGCCAACTGGGAAATGGTGATGAGACACACACACACACACACACACACACGCACACGCACACACGCCACTGGCCATCAGCAGGCTCCCAAAAGTACAGCCTCCTTCGCCTTCGCGACATAAACACAGACCCGTCTTCCGTCCATTTTTACCAGTGCGGTCTTCACACGGAAAAGATCCGTGGACGGACGGCTTGGACGGCCGGCCTTGGCGGTAATGATATAACGGTGAAAACGATGACGGCACATAACGCGGCCCCTCTGGCAACGTGCCCTTGCGCTCGCTCGCCCGCTCGCTCTTGCTCACACATGCACACGGCACACGCTAGCGCAGCGACGGAAAGTTTTGACCTTCCTGTCCAGTGCTTTGCGACGGACGGCGACGGGACACCCTCCTCCTTACCGTTTGTGGGGTAGGTGTAGCGGATGGAGCCAATGGAAGCTTGGAAGCGGTACACCACCGGGAGACATCGGCCCGAGGGGGAGCCCGTGCCCCAGCCAAACACCTCCTGCCTGTCGTTGGCCGCGTCGGGGCCTGCGCCAGGGCGTGTGGGCGCCGGCGGGGCGGGGCGGGGCAACAATGTGGCAAGTCGTGGCGAAGGGCGAGAGGGGATGGAGATTGGGAGGGCTGTGCCTACGCGTGCGTATGTGTGTATGTGCGTATATATTATATTACATTGTATACATATTTATATGTATACATGTGTGTAGATATATTATGTGCGTGTTGTGTGTTCAGGGAATATATCGCCGTCCAGGTCGCATTTTTGTGTGAGCATCGTTATACATAGTTATACAGCACCTCCACATTCCCCCCAACACCTCCATATCCTCCAAAGGAAGTCCGGAGCCGATAACGAACCCCCCCTCCCCGCCGCCGCCGCCGCCCCATCCACAGCAACATTTCTATTGGGGGGCACCACCCAAGCTGCCTTCTACGGTCTTCCACCCGCCTCCCCCCCCCCCTCTGCCCGTACGACCTCTCACCCATGCACGTCTGCGGGCTGCTGGTCAGCAGCACTCCGCAGCCGCCCGTGAAGTTGAGCGAGCGACACACACCCGTGGACTTGTAGTCCGCACTGCAAAGCAAGGTGGGGAGGCTGGCTGCAGAGGGAGATGGGGTGGGGGAAGGGATTAACAAAAGTTCTATAAATGACAACATTAAAAATCCAAACAAGCAGAGGATTAATCTTAATACAAAATATAATACACTGAGCTCTTGGGCCTAGACCCTCATCAGGCTCCAGGTGTTTGTACTTTCGGGAAATAAAAATGCAACTCCAGAAGGTGTAACACACACACACATACATACATACATACATACATACATACATACATACATACATACATACATACATGCAATACGTGGAAGCTCAATCCGTAAAAGTACAAAACTAAACGTAACAAATCCACAACCAACCTACCTCGCCCTTTTCCAACGCCGGTCCACACACCGGTCCCTTCTCAACCACCATAACACCATTCAACCTCACCCCGCTCACCACTCGACGCCGCCGTCGGATCGCAAAACAGCTTCTGCCCGGGCGCTGCCGCCATGTACGCCGAGCACGACTTGGTGGGCAGGTCGCACCCCGCACCGCGGCCCCAGGACAGCAGGCCGGCAGCCGAGCGGTTGGTGACGTACCAGCCCGTGTCGTCCAGGTACGCCAACGTCAAATTGGACACCCTGGCCGGGGAGCCGTCTGCGGCAAAGATGGTCGAGGCGACCATCACCTCGCCCTGGGGCCGGAGTGGAGGCGGTGATGGGGGCAGTAATATTACGGATGACAATGAAGCGGGGTGATGGGGATATGGATACGGATAAGGAGGACAATAATGAGGATGTAATGATGAAAAGAGCAAAAGCAGTGGAAAAGGAGCAGATTTTGGTGGAGGGGATCGGTAGGTTGTATGTGCCTCTCTAAGGTGGTAAAGAAGGCTCAGGCTTAAGAGGCTGGAAGTGAGCGCTCTGAAAGGGTGAGGGTGGGTGGTTCACGGTAGAACTCACTCCCTACCCCACCCGCCAGACTTTTGGGATGCAGATACACCGCTGCCTGGAGGTTGTTACTTGATAGAATCATACATGGGGCGACTGCATACATTGCCCTTACCCCACCCTTCCCAAAGGCACGAGGAGTTGTCCGAGGGGGAGGGATGTGTTTTTTGATCCTAACATGCGTTTCATTCTTCTTCCCCCCTTCCTCCTCCCCTTCTCCCTCCCCCCTTCCTCCTCCCCCCTTCCTCCTCCCCCCTTCCTCCTTCCTCCTCCCCCCTTCCTCCTCCCCCCTTCCTCCTCCCCCCTTCCTCCTCCCCCCTTCCTCCTCCTCCTCCTCCTCCCCCCCCCTTCCTCCCCCCCCCTTCCTCCTCCCCCCTTCCTCCTCCCCCTTTCTTCCTCCCCTTCTCCCTCCCCCCTTCCTCCTCCTCCTCCTCCCTCCCACTCCCAGCCACCTGGTAATGCGTATACTCCCAGTGCGACCCGGCGCTGCCCGCATTGCCCTCATCCTCCAACTGGGCGCCAAGCAGACTCGGGCAGCCAAACTGCGCGCGAGCAGCTTCCCGCACGTTGGGGCTGGTCAGCAGCTTCACCGCCTTGCCGCCCACGTCGGCCACCGCCACCATCTCACTCCCGGGACGCTGAGTGCCGTCGGGACGCCGTGTCACGTTGTACATCGAGTCCGTGAAACCCTGCACAACCCCGCGCGAGAAGAGCCATCCGGCCAACACCATGCAGATGGTCAGACAGAGAGGCAGACAGACAGACAGACAGACGAGCAGACGGAGGCGGTGATGCAGTGGGAGGGAGGGCCAGAGGGAGAGGCAATCGATGGTGGTGTGGCGGTGGCAACAGCCTCTGTGGGGGAGGTAGAAGAGGCCCAGGAAGGGAATACCCCAAAAAACACGAAGGAAAGACCTGGCCCAGATCATTCTCTCAACCCACAAAACTACCCCCACGCGTCAACCACTCAACCGAACCCCCCACCCCTCCCCTGCTCTTCCACCACTCCACATCCTACTCCCCCACCGCTCCCAACACCCTGCTCGCGACTCGTCAGATTACTAGAAATTACTAGGAAACGCAACCCCCAACCCTCTCTCCCCCCAGCTCCTCCAATCCAACACACCAGCGCATGAATAATCTCGTGTGTGAGGACCGCCGTCAGCCGTTCCTCATCCAGGAGCTCCAGCGCCCCGGGACACACATTTGCCGCCCCCAGCAGGGGCCGGTTGATGCCAATGTCCATGAGGCACGGCTTGGCCCAGGCGGCGGCGCCGGCTTCGCAGTCGTTGTTCTGTACAGCTGTGATGTACATGTACATGTCCGTCTCTTCGCCCTGCGATGGATGAGGAGAGGGAAGGAAAGGGCGGGGAGCAGTGTGGGGAGGGCGGGTTGAGGAAGGATATCGATCGTACACATGCACATCCTTTCCCTCTCAGCCAAACCCCCAGCCACAAATACCGTAGAAAGCGCACAAGACCACTTCCCCTTCTGCATCCCCGGCTAATGGAGCCACGCAAATGGAACTTGCCGCGGTGGAGTTAATCTTGGAGTCCTATCTCGCGATTCTCCTTCCCAGTTTATGAACGTACATACGTACATACATACATACATACTTACTACATACATACTACATACTAAATGGCAGGCGGCTGGCAGGGTTAAGACCTGACATCTGCTCCCGGAGTGGTCGGGTTCAAATCCGCCTGCCGACCTCTCGGGTGTGTGAGGGGTGTTGAATTGGGAGGTGGCACCCCATCTTGTGGAAGGTATAGGACGTCATAATATCAACATGCGAGCTAACCAGGACCTAAGTTGAGGCGCCGTTGATCCGCTAGATTTGGTTGGATGCTGGTGGTGAGTTGCTGAACCCAAGGAATACATTCTGAAGTCGGATGGGGTGAACGGATTAGGGTGCCCCTCTCGCAGGGGAGAGCAGGGTGCCTCGGGAAAATGGGGCAGCTGATGAAGCTATACCACCCTGTAACAACCTACTACATACATACATACATACACACATAGGCAGGTGTCCTGCATGTGACTTCTTATACATCCGGGCAAGTCCATGTAAGCACACAAACGTAAAGGTATGCACATGCACACAGAGGAATCTCCCCCCAGCCGCTCTTCCCTTCCACACACAACCCCGCACCTTGGTCCCGGCATAGCTCTTGCAGTTGGTCCCATACGCCGATGAGCCATTACCCGCGGCCGAGAACGGCGCCGTCCTGCCTAGCATCTGCAACGTGAACTGCCCCCTGGTGACGCCCGTAGCGCAGCTGACGGGGTTGACGATATGCGCCGGCTGGATCACCGCCAGACCGCACATCCGATCCGCATCCGTGGAGGAGGTCGCGAAGCTGGGGAAGCAGCTCCAGGTCTCCACATCACATAGGGGGTCCACCAACATGCCGTTCCTGGAGGGTTGCTTCACCTGCGGGCCCGGCGGGAAGGGGACGGAGGGAGGGGGAATGAAGGGGAGGGAGGGGGAAATAGGGCGCGGGGAGAGGGTGGACGTGAAGTAAAGTGGAATGGGTGTTTTGTGTCTGTGTCTGTAGATATTACATGCGTGATATGTGGGACAGGGGGGTCATATCTTCACCCTGCGGCCGCTACCCGGCAGACCCTCTGCTTTTCCCGGTGTTTCGGGGCACCCTCATCCAATCACCCTAGTCAACTTCTCAGTGGATCGCTCGGGTTCCGCATCCACCACCGGCATGTCTGTCAGTCTGTATGTATGTATGTTTAAAAGATTGTGGCGGCGTGGGAGCTGTGCGCGACGGGAGTGTCGTGGTTGGTAACCAAAAACCAGATCACGGCGCCACCGTCCCCGTGCTCTCTCATGCCTTCCTCTAGCTCTTTCCCCCCCTCCCCTCCTCCTCTGGACGACTTCCCGGACTCTCCGATAGGGCATGTGTTTAGAAGCCGTTCTTCCTTCTCCATCAGACCTAAGTTCCCCGTACTCGCACACCCAAACAGCCTCCGCATATGGGAAAAAACGCCCGTCCGCCCGCCCGCCCGTCCCCCCCACTCGCACCAGCTCTATGCTTCCCTCATACATTCCCCCCTTCCTTCCCCGCTCCGCGTTCACCACTCCGCCCTGCCCCCCGTAAATGTACTCCTCCCCGCCCGCCCAAGCGCCGCCGCTCTCGCCACCGCTCACGTTGATGTACTTCTGCAGGATGCGGCGGACTGCCTCCACTACCCTGGTCAGCCTCTGCTGTTGCATGAGGTTGAGCGCCCCCAGCTGCTGGTATGTCACGGAAAGCCGAATGGGCGCTGGTACCGGTGCCGTCGTTGTTGTCGTTGTTGTCTGCAGCGTCGCGTGTGGTAACGGTCATGGGGGAGGGGTAATTAAAAACACACGCACATACACGGGTCGTACAACCCCATGCACGAGGACACGCGTCTTGCTCGGCTCCGACGGAATGGACGTGCATGCGTTACGGTACTGTACGGTGCTTTTACGGTGCGGAATGGATGCACCTGGACTGTTACCAGGGGCACCAAGCAATCACAAATCAATACACGTAATGTATAATAACGTAATGTATCCGTTGTTCATCACTTGTTGATTCTTTTGTAGGCAGTTCTACATCGGTGTTTTGGAGCATGAATCTGTAGTGAATCAGCTGTGAATCAATTGCAAAATCAGTTGTGATTCGGTTGCGGATCAGTTATGAATCACCAACGGACTGAAATGTGCCTCTATCATAGTGGTGATCAAAAAATACGAGCAATATGGAGTTGGTGGTGTCAACAGCACTGAGCTCCCCTGCAACCCAGTTGGTTCTGAGGTCTCGTGTCGATAATGTATTGACCATTTTCGCATTTTGTATCATATCAACGCCGTTTCCACGCAATTTCCTAAATCCCACCCACCTGCTGAAGACTGCGGCCCCGTAGGCCTGACACCGCCTTGACCTCCTCCTCCTCCTCCTCCTCCACACCGGCAGGATTGCTGTCATGCAAGTCCTCCTTCGCCTCCTCTTCCTCCTCCTTGTTCGTCTGCTGGTCCCCACGGCTCGCTGCGCCCTCGCCGTCCAGGCCCCGTGTAGCCGCGACACCTTCTGAGCCGACAGCGCCGTCCCTCTGGGATCCCTCTGGCCATTGCGGCAGCTGATCTGTCGTCGCCGCCGCCGGCTCCTCGTCAAGTCCGCCGCTGCTCGCTGCGGCGTCATCAGGCGTGCGGGCGTGGCGATGGCCGCCACCAGGACCGTGATCGTGACTGTGAGTCCCTAGTTCACTTGTAAGCCGGTGGGCATTGTCGCTGAATTTCGCGGTGTAGGAGGCTGTCGTCCGCGGGCCCCAAGACGCCGATGCCATGTGGGCTTGATGTGCGACATGCCTGGCGACCAGGTCTTTGATATCTTGGTGTACGAAATGGTGCCCACATGATTGTACGGCGACCAGCAGCCCCAGCTCCAGCGCCGCGAACAAGGCCAGGGCTGTAGGGTATGTCCACACGTGCACGCCAGAAACATGGCGCGAAAAGGGTGCGTTAGCTTCTGGAGCAGCTGGTAGGAAGGTGCACGCCGCTGCGCCTTCGGCTGTTGCAAGCTGATAAAACCACGCTATGTGAATAGCTGATGAGAAAGCCGGGCATGTGCAAGGAATATGACTTATTTGAATGCGCTATCGGGAAGCATGTGGCCTGCAGAGCCCAGGTTTGCCCGGGCAAACATGGGTAAAAAGCTTACCTTCGCACCGCTGCATCTTTGCGTGAGTAGCCCGATGGCAGCAGGTGCACTAAATTGGGACTCAGCAGAAGTCGCACAGACGCCAAAACTATCGACGGTATCTAACTGGCACCCGTACGCGTCGCTGTAGGTTTACAGAATTCCTTCATTTGCAGAATTTAAAATTACGCTGTGCTGCTTGTAACGGTGTGCTGCTGTACTTGCTCCTACTTAAGTCATACGAAATTGTGTAGGAAGCAACCCTAAGTACTGCTAAGCAGGTTGTATGCAGCCTCAAATAATCAAGTCACTTGTGGGTAAGAGTCCTGCAATTGCGCCAAGGCATACAAATCTGAAGCTATACGAAGCAAGTAGTACCCGGGTCACGAACAGCTACTATGACCAGTTACGACGAACAAGAGCGTCACAAGCTTAAGATGTCAAGGATGTTGACACCCCAAAGCAGAGGAAAAGTGTGAAAAACAATGTCGTGCAACCCGGACGAGCGTTCAGTTAAAAGCCATCCACATCTAGCCGACAGTGACTTCATTCTTGTTTCTAGCTCAACGGCTCATGAGCTTTTTGGCTCGTTTAGGCCGTACAAGCTCGTTGAAGCTTGTGCCGAAAACGTTAATTGCAGTCGCGGTTCCGACCTGTAACCCTCATGTTTGTGATGGAATTCAGCGAGTAAATTTCCATCCCTAGGATGGACATATGCATGTGGGTTCGCTGTGAAAAATTCGTGATCCGGAGACTGTGGCTATATAGTTTTGTCTCCTGAATACATGCATCCCTAGGTAGCGTCATTTCGGAATAAAACGCTGATATCTCCGTCATCGTTTGAATGGCAGTTGACTCCGGTTGCGATTCCATACCTTCAACCGCACAGCACACAGCTCTGCAGGTCGAAGCAGTGGCATCCGGCAGTGGAGGAAGTGGTGTCGTTAAAAGGATGGGCACTAGCACAGCGGCTTCACACCGCACCGCAACGGCTCCCCTTAGCTCGGTGCTGCCCAAATGGTGGCGTCTCACGAAGATATGGTTTACAGGTGGGTGCATAAACACGCGACAATCCCAAACAAATCATATTGCACCTTATGTTTTGTTATAGGTAGATGCTGCTGTCGGAGTCCATGACCTTTTCACCGCAACGGAACGAACCCGAACAGCAATTCCATCATGGGTTTACGCTGCATCCCAACTCACGCACAACGGATTGCTTCCCCTTTTGTGTCCTCAGCCCAAACTACACCACACCGCACAGACCTGTCGCGTTTACAGCCTTTTTAAGTCCCTCGCTCTGCAAGCCCCAGCCCACGGCCCCCCACCTTACCCGGCTCTCCTCGATGTGTCCCAACGCAACCCAGATACAACCCAGCCCCCAAATCAAAAATTCAAAATAGTTTCAAGTTTAAATCCCCCAAAGCCCTGTCTGTTTTCCCGCTGGTCAAGGTGAGGAGAAGTGGGTCGCCCAGGGCTATGCGGCTGCTGTTATTGCTCTGGCGCTGGCAACCACCCTCTTCTCCGTGCATGTAAGCAAGGGGGGGGGAATAAACATGCGGATGTGGGGGATGGATCGAGAGGGAAGCCCTGAGGGCTGGGAGCAGGAGGCACATGCCGGCCCCCGGCCCCCGAGTTGCTTCCTAACTCCATAACTGACTCCACACGCCCCTATTCACCCTCGGTGTGATATCGCTGATGCAGATATCCTACGCCCAACGTGATTTCAGCACAGCGCTGTCGGGAAAGGATGTGGGTGAGTGGCGGGAATCAGTGACATGGGGGGAGGAGCCCAGCATCATCAATGAACCTTGCAAAGCCGCGGCGGTCCATGTAGGCCCCAACCCACCACGGACGCATGCTCTCCCTCCTCCACCACTTCCTCCGCCTCCTCCTCCTTACCCCGCTCTTTTCCCTCCGCTCGTCATTTCCACTACTTCCTTTACCGCCGTCTCTGCCCATCTCTGGACGCCATCCGACAGTTCATTCCTTGTGTCCTCGCATATGAGCCGCCCACCGTCCGAATATGAAACCCCTTCCACCCCCTGCGCAAACCCCCCTGCCGCTGCTGCCGCGTTTGCCCTCCCTCCAGCTGGTTTCTATGCGGCGGTTCGCAAGTTCGTGGTGATCATCATCGTAGCGGCCCCGCTGTTCTCCTTCAACGGATGGGTGGAGGTGCGCGGCGGCGGCGAGGGCGAGGGGGGCCCACCAAGGGCTTGGGGGATGGGGACATGGACGGACGGGGTCGCACAACGACCCTATCGCCGGCTTCCGTTGCTGGCTGGCGGGCAAGGCTTAGCTACTACTAGCTACTTGATTATCGCACTAGCAGGGTAGGTGGGTGAGTAGGCAGTCAGGAGATTGATTGCCACGCTTATACATTTTATTTGTATGATCAGGTACTGCTTTTGACGCACTCAGCTGCCAGTGCCGCTTTACTGACTAGTCTGATTACGCAGAGGTGGTAGTACGCACTTCCACTTGTCCTTACACCTGGGGTTACATCCGCTCCCGTGCATCCACTCCCGTGCATCAACTCCCGTACACCCGCTCCCGTGCATCCACTCCCGTACGCCCGCTCTCATGCATCCACTCCCGTACGCCCGCTCCCGTGCATCCACTCCCGTACGCCCGCTCCCGTGCATCCACTCCCGTACGCCCGCTCCCGTGCATCCACTCCCGTACGCCCGCTCCCGTGCATCCACTCCCGTACGCCCGCTCCCGTGCATCCACTCCCGTACACCCGCTCCCGTGCATCCACTCCCGTACATGTGTCGCTAGGACCGGCTGGTCCTAGCCTGGCGGGCTTACCTCACTCGCCGCCTCACCCGCGCCTACTTTGCAAACAGGTGCGCGTGCGAAGAGGCGTGTGTATGTACATATTTGGGTGCATGGGTGCGAAAACTGTGTGCGTGGAAAAGTTGCGAGAGTGGAAAAGGGTGCGTGTGCATGACACCGTGTGTATGTACATACATGTGTGTGTGTGTGTCTACGGAGCGGTGGGTTTTAGCCCAAACAAACAAACACGCTTCCGAACGCACACAGAACATATTTACACAGGGAGAGAGGGGCAAAGAGATTGAGGGTGACACAAAAACAAAGGCGCCCTGCATGTGTCTCCATCTGGGCCCCCGATGCTCGCCTCTCTCCGCAGGGCCTTCTACCACATCCAGCAAAGGGGTGACTGCATGGCGGCAGCGCCAGCTAGCTCCTGCCCCGGCACAGCCGCCACCGGCGGCGGCGCGGCCACGGCGGCGGTGGTGGCGGCCTCCCCAGCCTCCGGCGCCTTGGGGGGCGGCGGTATCGACAACCCCGACCAGCGCATCTGTGACGATGTGGGGTCGTTTGTTCGGAGCAGTGTGTCGCTGTCACTGACTTTGTGTCGGAAGATATTCAGCTGCGTGGCGTTTGCGGGTGAGAGAGGTGGCAGTAGTGGTAATGGAGGGGGTAGTGGCAGTAGTGGTAATGGAGGGGGTAGTGGCAGTAGTGGTAATGGAGGGGGTAGTGGCAGTAGTGGTAATGGAGGGGGTAGTGGCAGTAGTGGTAATGGAGGGGGTAGTGGCAGTAGTGGTAATGGAGGGGGTAGTGGCAGTAGTGGTAATGGAGGGGGTAGTGGCAGTAGTGGTAATGGAGGGGGTAGTGGCAGTAGTGGTAAATGAGGGGTTAGGGCGGGTAGCCTGGGTTTAGGAGGGAGGGACGGGAGGACGGACGGAGGAAGGAGGAAGGATGGAGGGAGGGAGGGGGAAAGACGAACCACGAACGAGTGAAGCTGAGGGAGGGGGAGATATGGGGCTAGGGAGTGGAGGGGAGTGGAGGGGAGGGGAAGGGAGAATGCATGCGGATGGCCGACCCCAAAAACCAACAGTTCGCTGCTCTCCATGGCTGCGCTCGGCTCCTCGGTTCTAAAAACAAGAAGGTTTTGAAACCCTAAAATCCTCAAACGTTAAGGGGTCACATGTACACGTTCTTATTGCCCTCCTTTTCCCGACCTCCCCTTTCCCAGTTTCTGTCCCCGCTCTCCCCCCTGGCTGGGGCCCCCCGGCGCCCCTCGCACCCCTTTCTGTTTCAGGCGTGCTGTGGGGTGTTTCCGGCAGCCTGGTGCTGTTCATGTTCATGTACGCCACGGTGGGCACCTTCGTCACCACAGCCATGTTTGGGCGGGTGCTCACAACCCTGTTTTACAGGTAGGTGGGGAAAGGGGGTGAAGTTGTATGGAGAAGTTGAGGGGAGGCGAAAAGTGTATTTTGGGGGTTTGGGGGCGGGGATGACATGGGTTGGGGGTGGGGGCGGGGGACGTGGGTGTCTGATTCGACTCTGGATCACGGGCTGGATCGTTGGGAAGGGGAGGGGGTGGAGGAGGAATAGGACAACGGCAGCGACGGGAAGGATGAATCGCCGCGCTGCGTCCCCACCACAAGTCCGTGTCCCTTCCTGTCCTTGGCCCCTCTTTCCACCGCCCGCCCTCCGTCGCTTCTTTCAGGTCCCTGTCCCTCCTCCCCTCACCCTCCCTCACCCTCCCGCACCCTCCCGCACCCTCCCGCACCCTCCCGCACCCTCCCTACCTCCCTCACCCACCCCCCATCCCTCACCCTCCCTACCTCCCTACCTACCTAGGCAGATTGCATAAGGATCCCCCCCGCCCGCCCGCCCCGCCCCGCTCCTGGCTCCCCTGCCTCCCCCCCTCCCAGGCAGTTGGCAAGAGAGGCCGATCTGCGGTTCAGTCTGGTGCGAGTGCGGGAAAACGCGGAGAGCATCGCCTTCTACAGAGGTGGGTGGTTGTGGGGTGGATGGATGGGTTCTGCGAAGGGTGGGAAAACCAACTAACTTAGGCTCGTCCTGCCCTACTACTCGCCCTCCACCCCACCCCACCCCACCCCACCCCGGGCATGTACTTATTTTCGCACATGCGTCCTCCTCCTCCTCCTCCTCGCCCCTTCCCGCCCGCTCTCCTCGCTTCCCGCCGGGGCGGAAAAGGCGAGGGCGGAGAGCGGGTGCGGGTTTTGTCCCGCCTGGATGCCGTACTAGCGGTTATCGCTGACCGCGTTCGCTGGTCGGCGTTGTACGACCTATGGACGAGCGTGTACAGCTACGCCACCATCCTAGTACCGTCGCTGCTTACGGCGCCCAGGTGCGCGTGTGTGTGGGGGGGGGGGGCTTGTGTGTGTTCCCGTATCCGCCGCACAAAAGCGTAAAAGCCCCTCGCCCGGCGCAGCCGTAACTCGCAACGATACGTAACGTCAAATGCTCTTGTGCGCAGGTACTTCGCGGGGGAGATCGAGTTCGGGGTCATCAGCCAGGCCTCGTTCGCGTTCTCCAGAATTGATGCGGCGCTGTCCATCATCATCAACAACCTGGCCCAGATATCGGGACTAGCGGTAAGAGAGGATGGGGTGGGGAGAGCTGCTGATGGGGCGGCGGCGGTAGTAGTTGGGGTTGGGGTTTGAGGTTGGAGGGCGCCCCGAGGTAAACCCAACGAGATTGGAGGGGGCGGAGGAAGGGAAGCGATGAAGAAAAGCCTCCCCGGTGCCGAACTGGGTTAGGAGGTATCACTTCAACTATTGTGAAGTTTACTGTCATGGCGTATGTACGACATCAGGGCTACGTGTTCGGTGTCCGTACATTTTCCTTGGTGGCTGCCAACACGCCAAAAGTTCTACAAGGCTACAGTGGGTTCGGAAAGTGTGGAGGAAAGAGGGGAAAGAGGCCCCATATGTCGCATATCACAAGCATAAGGAATTTAAATTAATGACCCAGTCAGCATTTGAAGCACCCTGCCGGGTTTATCTGTTCACTCCTCACCCGGGGGGGGGCTTTGCCTCGCCTCGCCTCACATCACATCACCTCGTATTTTAATAAAATTGTTTTTGTGCCTCTTCTAGTGCCTGCTGCGCGCACTACAGCACCCACACGCAGTGCCGTACTGTGCCGTACTGTACGGACCGACTGTTGATTTAGTACGGGATGCGTTTCTGAAGTAGCTGGGAGGACCGCTCCCCCCCGATGTGTTACTCTAGGCGGAGACGGAGCGTCTGGACTCGCTGATTGCGGCCATGGGTGGCCCGGGATCAGCTGCGTCGGACGCTGGCCGCGTGCTTGAGGAGGGGGATGATGCGGGAAGGAAGGGCAGGTGCGTGTGGAGGGGAGGTAGGGTTTTGTGGTGGGGGAATGCAGGTAGTTGTTCGCGACTGTTTTACACGTTTGTTTTCCATTGCGGTCGTGGATGTTTAGGGAATGTGGGTGGGGCTGTGGGGGTGGTAGTAGGGGGGTACTGAGGACTAAGTGGTAGGGGGGGGGTAACTGAGGAACAAGAGGGGGGGAGCTGGGAGAGGAAGCCGGTGCGGGAAACTGCGAAACAGCTGGGAACGACGAAGGGCTTCCAACCCGGTTGCAATATGCCCGCACCTCTAGTGCCCGCAAAGTCTAAAACCCCCTTCAAAGTTCGAAAAGTCAACTTGAAACCCTGGGTAACTCTTTCCTCCCTCAACAGCCGCGGCTCCGCCGCTGCCGCTGCTGCCGCAGCGGTGGCGTCGCTGCTGCTTTCCTCCCCTGGCGGCGGTGACGTCATCCGCCGCCGTACGGATCGGGATCTTCGCGGGCTTGTACTGCAAAACGTAACCGTGGTGACCCCCCGCGGCGCGGGGGGGGCTGGGGGGGTTGCGGCGGCCAAACTGCTGGCATCTGACTTGACCTTCACTTTGGAACCCGGTGAGCCAACGGGCAGAATAACAACCTCGGGTTTTAATGTTTTGACGTTTTTAACGTTTTAAGGTTTTACGTTTTATAAAACACGAACACTGGAAAACCATGCTTTCCAACCAGTACGGGGAAAAGGGATGTTGCTGGGAAAGGCACCATTCGAAAGCTCTTAAAAGAGGCCTCGGGGACTCCGGGTGTTGGATCTTGGGGTTGGGTTTTGGATTCACGGCACGGGTTTCTGAAATAGCGACATACCATCCCCGTGTAGCCCTCCCCTTACCCCTTACCGAGTTGCCGGTCAACGTAGAAAATCTGGAGTCTGCGGTTTCCTCTCGCATACTCCCTTAACCCCCTGCCCTCCTTACCCCCAAACCTACTTCCCCACCTTGTCCCATTCCCGCCCCCAAAACACACACATACATACATACATGCACACACCCAGGGCAGTCCCTTCTGGTGGTGGGTGCCAGCGGTTGCGGCAAGTCGTCCCTTCTGAGGGCCATTGCCGGATTGTGGACTACGGGGTCGGGGGTGGTGGTGCTGCCGGGGGGAGGAAGAGGAGGAGGAGGGGATTCGTCATGCGCCGGAGCGACCCGTGGGTCGGTGTTCTTCCTCCCGCAGAAGCCCTTCATGCCCCTGGGCGACTTGCGCACGCAGCTGACCTTCCCGAGTGCGGTCACGGCAGGTGCGCTGGAATGCCGGGATGCTTAGGGAGTACAGGGCCTTCCTGGCCGCGACGGGGCTAACCTCCCCACTATTGCAGTTTAGGGCATTTTCTGGTCGCGGTTTGTAGGACAGATGTTTGCAGTACAGGGCAGGGTCCTTTTAACGCCAAGCCGCACCGCTAGACGCGTCGCTTGATGGCGGTTCCCCCCCTCTTCTCCCCCCTACCACCAAAGCACCGCCACCATTATTACGACCAGAACCACCACCACCACCACCACCACCACCACTGCCATCACCGCTATCACCGCGCCTGCAGGTATTGATGTCATTCTTATGCAAGGTGAGGCTAACCCACACACCCTGGCACCGTCTAAAGCCAAGTTAAGACTCCTCCACCTAACGACCCCAACACCTCGCTGCCCAAACCCCTCCGCCCCCTCCTCTTCTTCCCTCCAACTGATCCCTGCACTCATTGGGGTGTCACACCGCCAGGCAACGGTGACCCGTGGGTCACTGCCGCCTCCACCACCACACAGCCTACCACAGCCACGACCAGCTCAAGCGGCGGCGGTGTCCGCCAAGGCAATCACGAGGACATGTCGCAGCCGGATGATGAGGGGCACCTGGAGCGGGCTCCCCTCCTGGAGTCGGGGTCGGGGGCGAGAGGAGGAGGAGAGGGTGTACAGGCCCTTTCAGATGAGGAGCTGTTGGCGTTACTCGATGACGTGTGTTTACCGGACTTGGTGCAGAGGGGA